GAGAATTGAATGGGGGGGTCATAACCCCCATGACCCCCCCTGGATCCGCCCTTGGTTAAGTGAGATTAGCTCAATTGTCTTTTTTCTATATAATTCTAATCGAAGTAATATAAGAACTATCAACTTCACTAAATATTTTGGGCCTAAAGGCGTTCGCGAACAAAAAAAACAAAAAAAAAATAAATAAATTACCGTTGGTATGAGTTGTAACAATGGGGGGATTGTCCAAGCTGGGGTGATGAACTAAAATGGCGTGGAAAAAAACAAAAACAAAATTAAGTCGTGAATTATCAAAGTAAAGTAAAGACAGTTTGGCTTAGAACCTTCACCGACACCGGGACCTTTCACCAATTTCAACTAACTAAAGGAACTAATTTTAGCTTACGACTAAACAGTCTTAACACTAAACACTACTTACTGTAGGTAACTACCAGTCCTGGGTTAGGGGAATAGCGTGAAAGTGCAAATTAAGGGATGTGTTAGTGTTCGACTACCAAAATAGCGCTAAGAATTAAGTCATTGAGTCTTTGAGTTCAGACTACTTCTGATAGTGATGCAATGCTCAGGATGGTTGAGGAAACTTTTTCGGAAACTAATGGAATATTAGGGTTCGCTTTGATATCGCGCGATCAAAGTGAACTTTGATAGTTTTCCCCGAAACAATCCTGAACAATGTTCTAGTGAAAATGCAGCTAAGTGACTCCCACCCAGTGGCGTCCACTAAATAAAATTGATTGAAATTACCTTCTCCGTTCCGGTACTCCAAAGTATCGCAATCGCTCGGTTGCTTCTTGTTGCACTCGTCATTTGATCGCGATCTTATGAAAACAACAGTTAGAACGATAACCGCGACCAGGACGACCACAATGACGACGATTCCTCCTGCTACCAGTTGCAGCCGGAAGCCTTCTTCAGCCCCAACGTATGCTGCAACAATCAAGCAGCATCAGCAACCGTTTTGATCTGGATTGAATAAGAACCTACCGGTATTCAGCACTTGGCCAGTAGTTTTGAATATCACAGGCGACCAGGCGCCCCATCCTCTGGGCGTTTTCGCCCTGACCTGCAGCCCATATTCGGTCCTTTGTTGCAAGCCCGTGATGGTTGCGATGAGGGTGGTGGTCAGAAAGCTCGTTGAGTTGCTGTATTCTTCGTTGCGTGGAAACCATCTAGAAAAGAATCACTCAGCTTTATCCTAGATAAGGATGCATTCAAAAAAAGATTGCTTTTATTTTTGAAAAATTCGTAAAAAAGTGGTTTTCCATTCCAGTTATTTCATTTCATAAAAAACAAACAATGCTTTCTCATAGCACCTTTTCGAGCGCTACAAACCATCAAAAACTTTGGTTTTTCATATGGACCCAGACAAAATCCTGTCTGAGGACCAACAAAGATAGACGAAGACGATAGAAGAAATGCATTTTTTTGATTTATTTTCCTGATTTTGCTTGTGCAATTCATTCCCACTGTTTTGATTTTTAACCGAGCGCACATTTAAAAAATATTTTTGTGATGTATAGGGTGTCCCAAAAGCTCTAAAGGTAACAAAGTTGTGTTTTTTTTAATGGAATCTCCTGTATATTATTGCATTTTTGGATTCGCTGAACAAAATAAGTGTCTGTTTTAATAAGGTTTATAATCATAAATCTTAAGGTTTTTTAAATAATACGAATTTAATCAAAATCTAATCTAATTTTTACGTGTCAAATACTTTAGAAGTAATTAGTTATGTAAGCGTGATTTATAGTGAAGTGTAACAAGGTACAATATTTTATATCCCAATGATAATAAACTTACCATGTTATACAGGGTGTCCACAAATTTAAACTAATCAAATAAGAACTTTAAGTGGCTC